TTCTAACTTAGGTTATGACTTTTTCGATGCGTTGTGACTTTTCGATGAGTTGTGACTTTTCCAAAAAGTTGTGACTTTTTCAATAAGTTGCGACTTTTTCAAAGGATTGTGACTTCTCGAAAATGTCATGATTTTTCAGATAAGATACAAAAAATATTTGTTCATACCACCCTTTGTTGACTATAAATAGAGGGGCATCCTCTCATTTTTCAACCACAATTTTTTTAATCTTCTACCTTTCTTCTTCTTGCATTTTAATTTTTTTTGTGTGATTTATTGTCTTTGAGCTAGTTTGAAGTTTAGCGGAATATGAGGTACCACTATTCTGATGAAGCAAGTCGTTCTATCCTAAGAGGCTTAGGGTATATTCCATAACCTCGAGTACTTGAGAAAAATAATTTTGATGATATAATAATTATTTTTTTGCTTAATATATGCATTAGTATGTAATGTTCCAACATATGAAGTTAACATGATGTAATCTAAATTCATTTGTTTTTGTTAACAATTTCTCTTCTGATGTAGATGTATGTTTCTGAATGTCTTTTCCGAAATTTAGAGAATTGTCACAATTTGTTTTTGATGATCAAGACAAAAGAATAATTTTATTTATCAATGCTACTTATGTGATTTAAATTCTAATGAAGTTTTCTTCAAAATAGTAATTACTATCTACACATTGCCCTTTGTTTTACTTATTTACTATTTTTTAAGATTTCAATATTTTAGGCGAAGAAAAGTTCATATGACTTGTAATAATGTAAGTTGAAGTTTGTATTATTTTAATTTTTATTATTTATTAAATAATTAATTTTATGAGATAAATATTTTCATTAATACAAATATATATTTATATTTGGGTGGGTATTTGTATTTAAATTAAAGTATTATATATGTCACAAATGTATTATCAAGTTAACAAGATCTTGTAAACTTCAAAATATATTATTTTAAAATGTTCCGAGTTTTTTTTTTAAAAAAAAAACTCACAACCAATGTGAAAATATGTGAATATATGAAATGTAGTTGTTCTCTTCACATGTTCACACAACATCTAAACAATTTAGCATGGAATACACATGAAAAACACATCTGGTTAGATGACAAGAAAAATACAAAGTAAATATCGTCTATAAGGTAATATTAGTGAGATAAGACTAATTACATGATTAATCTCATCAAATTGAAATAAATATACACATTATTGCATTTAACTAATAAATTTTTTCATTGACCATCTTCATAGGTTTGCGTGAATAAGAAATATATATGACGATCCACGTTGAACATTCACAAAAGAATCTGCTAAGCTTATTATTATTCAAATCTTCGCTTAAATAAGCAAATACTATTTACTATAACATATATTTTTGGAATTGGTAATGTTGCACGTGTCAAAAAACTAATATATATATATATATATATATAAAATGCAAATGCATGACATACCCGACCAAATGCTAGCAATGGTGGTGCCTTCCGAAAGCTAACCGACATCATACTCACCAGCTTGTAAAATAAACTTGAACATTTAACTCGACTTTAGGAAGGTAACATAAACTTGAGAATGTTCATAAAGATATTAAGGTCCTTAAGAAATTTCATTATAACTTAATTTCACTTTAAAACGACTATTTAGACCTATAAAACCCATAATAAACTCGAAGATCTTCACTCTTCTATAATTTAGCAAATCAATCATTTAGGAACTCAAATGGAGACTTACATGTCTGACTTAATTTACTATAGACGACTCTAAGTTGGGAAAAGTGCGAGCCTGATTAGAAACAAAATTGTTTGGCAAGTCTATAACCAAAAGAATAGGGTACAAGATTTAGTATGAATATAATTTTCACACAACATTTACATAAGAATTTCTCACAAGAAAGTACGATTTAACAACCACTTAGACACAATATAATAAATCTTCATCATTTCAGCCTCATTCTTAGGACAAAAGCTCGCTAATAGACATAATTAATAAGAGACTCTATGGAAAAATAACTTTAACCGTCAAGTATACTTCAAATAGTACAAACACGACATCTCAATGCCCTTCACAAAGGATCTTCATAGCAATATAATAATACAAATGATTCATTCAATGATTTTCAACTTTGAGTATTCATGAGATATAAAAAAAAGAGTTTTGCCTTAACATACCTTGCCTTCTTTTGCAATTATACGAATATTTCCACGCAACCACGCTAAATCTATAACAAGAATTCACGTTCAAATTAACAGAAGAAAACTACTATGAATAATTGATAAGCTATTACTTCGCCATGAAGATAAGAACACTAAAACCCACTCTAATAAATAAACTAAAAGGACAAAACTAGGGGTGTACATGGCC